GATATATTAAAATGTACAAACTACAACCGTATGTACATATGTATGTGAGTATGTACATACATATGTACAAATGTAGGGTCATAACTTCGTACGCAACGTTGCATGGTTGACTTTTGTTGTTTTTATTAGTAAACCGATGGATACTGGTTTCTTGATAGTACGTTGAATGGGCGAGTTACATGCTCCCCGCGCCGGAGCCGAAGTTGCCGTTGCCATTGCTGTTGTTGCCATATCGGTCGCAACACTGTTGCCAACTTGGTGCTTTTCGCACTAAATTTATTGCTTTTCTGTATTTAAAACGGAAAAATTTTTGAGTTTGGTGCTTGGTGCGTTTTTTGGTAAATTTTTTTTTAGTTTGAAGACACCAATTCTGTAAATCTTAAAAAAATTGAAGATAAATTAATAGCAATCGCAAATATTTTACCAACTTTACAAAAAGGGAAACAAAATCATGGCACAATGACAATCGGAAGCGAGCATATGTTTGTCAACAAATTTTTGATACAAAAATATTTTTCCCACTATGCGCTCAAATAAGACACATTCAGATAGGTTCTGCAATTCACTTCCGAGTGAATTTCAATAAAATGAATTAAAATTGGCCGGGGTGGAAATACACTCGGAAGTGAATTGAAGACCTACCTGCCAGATTAAAAAGGGTAATCAAATGTCGTTATGTTTCAGGTGTCAAGCAGTCGGAAAGAAAAGCTCTTTATATTCCTTTAGCTCACGAGACAATAAGAGACTGCAGTGCAGATTTAAACTAACACATACTTCATGAAACTTCATTTTTTGTTTTGGCTTTCGTTTGACAGGAATTGTAGAAAAAAATTATGCAAAACGAAGAAAAATTTACATGCATATAAACAGTCAGGAAAAAATTTATAAATTTTTCTTGAATCTAACGAAGCGGCAACGCTGGACACAGCTGCAAATTAGAAAATGAGAACAATAATGTTATCGTCGCTTGGAGGAAAATATTTGAATTTATAGAAACAGAGAAAATTCGACCGTCAAGCGAGAAACATTGATTTTTATTAATTTAAATCAGCATTCCTACAAACAAGTTTTTATGCATATAAAGCCCGTTAAATACTCCGATACAAATTTGGTGATTTTTTCGAGAAAACCCGCGATTTTTCTTGGGTTTTAGTGCTTTTTCAAATTCAAAACTTGGCAACACTGGGACGCAATGAGCGTCTGTCTTGGCTTTGTTTTCTCTCTTTTTTTTTAGTATTATGAGAACTACGGTTATGTCTGCCTACATTTTTCTATTATTGTAGTTATTGCCTTTATACAAATTTCTTATCTTGGGCACAAATAATCTTTACATGTACATAAATAAATATGTACTCATCGTGCAATCTTCCTCAAGTCAAAGAGCTGATTGCTGCCTCTCTCTAGGCTTGTCTGTCAGTCATCATAACCAAACAATCAAATAGTCAAGTCAAGGCAGTGCAGAATACAAGGAAACCGCCATTTAATTGAACCACAAGAATAAATAGAAACGGAAAGTCAAGAAGAAGGAAATAAAAGAGGCTGAAGCGAATAGTGGTGGTGTGTGTTAGTTTTGGGCGCCCACTGCCATCTATTGTTGTTGTAAATGCTGTGCTGTTCCGTTCAACGAACGGTGGGTATGTTCAGTACAAGCATTTGGCGTACGTATGAAAATGCGAATAAATAAATGGAATAACTCTGGAAAAACAGAGGATGTTTAATTTGCGTAAAATCACTGATAGCAAAGTTTTTCTGAAATTCAATTTGAAATATTAAACGGCAAATCAGAAATCTCTCCGAAAATGCATTATTTCAACATGGTAGTTGCTTGCATAACAAATTAGCAATTGAACTGTGATTTCTAATGAACGGCCGATTAAAGCCATTCACAACAACCAAGAGTAATCAAAAGCGATATAAATGTTACTTGCAATTGGTACAGGAAAGAGGGATTATCCATAAATCCCAGTAAAACTACAATCCTCCTTTTCACCCTA